ATCTTTACCGACAAGAGTTACCAATCACTCAAGTACTTTGATTGATAATATATTTTCTAGTTTAACTTCTAAAGAGATTTTATCCAGCAGTCTAACTATTAGAATATCAGATAATCTGTCACAGTTTCTAATTTATTCATCTTTTAAAAAAAGAAATTTTAATTCTCATAAAAGAAATATCCTTCTTCGAAACTTCAAAAAATTAAATAGTGAAGAATTCAGGAATGATTACTTAAAAATCAATTGGGTTAAAGTAGTCAAAGTTTCCTATGGTAATACAAATAAATCATATGAAGATTTCTTCACTAGCTTTAACTCTCTTCTACTTAAAGACGCACCACTAAAAAAACTAAGTAATCATGGCTTTATTAGGAGCCTTAGACCATGGGTTACTTCAGCAATTTTAACCTTAATACAAAAACAAAACAATATATTTAAGAAGTTCCTTAAAACAAAAAATCTCCATGACAAACTAATTCTTGAAAAAACTTACAATACCTCTAGAAATTTACTTGTAACACTTATTTGTAAAAGCAAAAAAAAAAACTTTTCTAACTACTTGACTACCTATTGTAAAAGTTTGAGAGCTGCGTGGAAGGAGCTACGTGGAAGAGTATTTAAACTCTGTTGAATATACATTCGGATGATATCTCATCAAACAACACCATTATAAATGGTTCAGTTAAAACCTCAGAAATTTTTAACTAATGATTGATCATCATCCTATATTCAAAATCTTAGTTTATCTCGATTAATGAGTTTTAATCTATTTAAAATTTAAAATCTTACTTAGTTTGTCTTGATTAATGGGTTATAATTCAGAAGTAAAGTTATTATGTATAGTGTCCCTCAGGGTTCTGTTCTAGGGCCTTTACTGTTTTTAATATATGTTAACGATCTGCTTCACTTTATAAATAATTTGATTGTTCATCATTTTTCTGACAACACTAATCTTCTATGCATAAATAAATCACTTGCGCAACTTTGTAAAAAAGTTAATTCAGATCTTCATCATCTTTATTGATCTCCAAAAAATAAAAAAGATCTCCATTATTTTGTCATTGGTTAAATAGTAACTGTATTTCTCTAAATATGAATAAAAATTATTTTTCACCATTCAAAAAAGAAGATTGATAATGATAATGTGAAAATTAGAATTAACAGTAAAAGGCTTTTTCCATCTATTTCTTGACAAAAACCATGAATCATGGTACTATCAATTAATTCAATTAAATAAAAAACTCTCACAAGCCAACAGTATGTTTTCATTCAGAAAACACTATGTTCCTCCAATATATTATAATATCAATTAGGGGTCATCCATAAAGTACGTATGCTTTTTATTAGTCGATCCCCCTCCCCCTCCCCGGCATTTTGCAATACGCCTTATTGAATAACTTCCACCTCCCTAAAAGTACCTATGCTTTTAACATATTTATCCATCTCATATACGCCATTTTTAGACCCCCTTGACCCCTCTGAGCGTACGTACTTTATGGACTATCCCTTAGCTATTTCTTGTTCTCCTCACATCTAAGTCATTGTTGCACTGTTTGGGTTCAAAAAGGTTGTTTTCTATTAAATTGTATAAACAGTTTACACTTCCATAAGAATAAAAAACGCACTTCTATTTTCTTTATGAACTAATGCTCAAAATAGGTTTTCTGAATTAAAAATTCTAAAGTTTCAAGATCTTGTAAAGCTTTATAATTGTCTCTTTGTGTTTGATTTTCTTCAAAATAAACTACCAAATTATTTATTAAAACAAGTGACACATAAATATTACACTCGAAGTACTGAAAATTTTAACTTGCACACTTCCTTTTTCAACACTATCAAATATGGCAAGCTCTCTATAAAACATCAATGTATTTCTCACTGAAACCAAATATAAGCATTTATAAAAAAAAAAAGATTTTAACTAAATACCCTTTTATTACAAATATTTTTCTTCTCAATCAAAACCAAGTTAGGAAATTTGAGTAAATATCTAATGAATATAAATTTTATCATTTATTATTATTGCTTTTTTTTTATTACTGTAGTTATAAAACTATTATTACTTTTATTTTATACTATCTATGTCTTTTTATTATATGTCTTTTTTAACTCTATTACTATTATTACTATTATCATTAATTTATCTTTGTTTTAGAAGCCATATTAACATTATTTATAATGATAGTGTTATTGATTCCATAGTAGTAATAGTTTTATGGTTATTGTCATAATTTTTGCATATGTTATGTTTATTTTAATAATTTGTTATAAACTTTAATATAATGATTTTTACCATAGTTTTTATCATTAGTTATAATTTTTCGTAAAATTATCATATGATAATTACTATTTGTAATATTTTTTTAATTCATAATATTGTTATTGTTGTTATCATTATTATTATATTATTATTGTTATTAATAATATTATTTTTATTAGTGCTTTTTTTTTTTTTCTTTTTTTTTTTTTTTCTCTATTTTATTTTAAATTCTTTTTATGTTTTATTTATAGTTTCATTCATTTTCGACAACGTTGCATATGATTTTGACAGCACTTAAAATACTTTAAATAATATAGAAATAAAACAATTAGGTTCTTTCTAAATTCATTTAGATAATTTTTTAGTTTAAACAAAAATTTATCATATATAAAATATTGTTATTACAAATACTTGCCTAATTAAAATAAAAAAATACTAAAGTAAGTTTATCCTTCATAATTGGTTCTCTTCTTGAGAACACGGAATCATATACCTAAGCGCGTGCCCAAAATAATTATTACATGATGTGCTAGTTATATCCAATGAACCATTTTGTATATTTTAAGCAGTTCGTCTTCAGTTCTAGACAAACATCTTCTGATAAATTGTTTTCATTTAGAAAACACATTTGCAGGTAAAAACATCAAAGAACGCTCCGCATGTACTATTTCATCTTGAACAACAGCAGATTTATGAAAACGAACATTGTCTAAAATTAAGATAGCTCCAACAACTTCATTAACAGCTGGTTGTGCTAATACTAGACAAATAAAATATAAAAAGCTCTCTGTATTAAATGCTCTTGTTTGTGCTAAATATTTCAAAATTCCATTTTTGTTCATTGCACAACAGATGGAAATATTTCTTGATTGTATATTGGTCACTGTATGTGTGGCCCTCTTTTCAGCTAAAAAACATCCTCTTCTAATTCGCATTGAAAGACTGAATCCTACTTCATCAATAAAGAATTTTTCATTGTCATTCATGAAAGAGCTTCTTAGGCAGAAAGGTTCATGAATAATTTGTTCATGAATCTTTCTGCCTAAGAAGCTCTTTTAAGTAAGATCTTCAGAGTTTCTTCTCTCTGTAATATTGTAAACACGTTTCAAAGTATAATTAAAACTATCAATGCATCTTGTTATAGTAGAATGACTGACTAAAAATAGATTTTGTTCAAAAAGTCTTTGCTTAATTTCCTTAAGAGTTAGGAAAGCAATATAAAGGAAGTAAATTCCAAAAGAGCTGATGTTCGAGGAAAAAAACTAGAGGAATAAGAGTTTTTGGTGCACTTAGGAACAGTCACAGAAAAAGGATGAATGACGAGTAACACAAGAATGAATTTTAGTAGATGGCACAAGAGACGCTAGCTCTTTAATGCAGTGCCCATTATAATATTTGTAGAAAAGAGAAAAAGAAGCAACTTTACGACGTTGTGGTAATGGTTGAAGGTTGGCTGCTAGAGCATGTCCAACTATGTTTACAATGCGTTTTTGCACCTCTAACATCTAAAAGTAAAAGGGCATCATTAGAAGATCCGCTCTAGATATGGCAACAGTATTCCATATGAGGCCGGATTTGAGATTTCTAGAGATAGAGAATAGAATTAAGAGTAAGAAAGTGTTGAGCTCAATAAAGAGATGTAACCTTAGCAGATGCTAATTTTGCTACCTGTAGAAATGCACAAAGGTCACTACTTTATATGTAATTTATATGTGGGTTTTCTTTTACTTGCTTTATAGCAAGTAGCTAGGACAAATTTTAAAGAAAATTTTAAAGTTTTTAAAAACATAGCCAAGTAGGTTCTTTTGTGAACTGTCAATTATGCATCATTTACGGATTTACAACAGTTAAAATAATAGCACTAGAACATTGAAGCAACAGATGCTGTTGCACTGTCTGATAATCCGAAACCCAGTATTTTTCAATTTAATGCCATAGTGATTTAGTTGTAAGCCTAAATTCTTGTTTGTAGAGGAATCACATCTAAATTTTTTTTGTAGGAGTGTTTCTACACCTACAATTGTTTTAGCAAGATTGTTATGACAAAATTGTTAGCAGGCAGTTTTTTATTTTCAGCCAACAATCTTTTTTTTTTTTTTTTTAATTCACCTCCTCAAGCTTGGATGAAACTTGGAACCTCTCGCTTATGAAGCGACGGCTCTACCACTACATCGCTACCGCATATGATTTTGCATAAATATTTTTGATTTAACCTATGTCTAGCATTATTTGGCAATACAAAATATTTCAATATATGTATATCTTTTCACAGTTACAAATAATAAAAAAATCCATTCACCAATTATTAGTGATCATTTTATATTTGCACTCTTATTTAGTTATTTAACACTTATATACAGAAATCAAACCAAGATTTGTTTTTTGAATATTGAACTCACTTTTTAACTTATTAACATATATATACATATATATATATATGTATATATATGTATATATATATATATATATATATATATATATATATATATATATATATATATATATATATATATATATATATATACACACAACCCTCGGAATTAGGGTCGGCATTTGGCAATGTCGAAAAAACCTAACTTTCGACCTGAAAGTGTTTGAGGTCGGCAAATAATGCCAACCTCGTTTCTATGTTTCATGGTCAGACCTTTGTATCAAATAATTTTTCCCGACCTCTAAAAGACTGAGATCGGCAAATTATTGCCAACCTCATATATTATGTGTATACATTATGTTATTTTAGAAAAGTACATACCAAAACTTACAGTTTGATGCTGGTGCGTTGAAAAAAGAATTAGAGCTTTTACAATTTTCTTCAGAAAAGCAAAAAGAGCAAGTTATTCAGTTACAAGAGCTTCTTATATCAAGAGAGTGTGAACACAAGTAATTTTGTGTTTGTCTGTTTTAATGAAGACTTTTTTTAAATTCAGTATTTTTTAAAATTATTTTTGTTTATAGATTATTTTTAATAAATATTTGTAGCAAAAATCAAAATAAAAAAATTATATAATATGTTGTCAGCATCATTAAACACAAAGTTTTTTTGTCAATTGTTAGGATTAAATAAGCAGCGGTTGTTAACAAAAAAATTGTTTCACTCATTGACATTATTAACCAAAATGTCTCAATATGCAGTCGAAAACAGGCGATAAGTTTTTCTAAAATTTATCACCTGGTGATTAGGTTTTTGACTTTACACTTTTACTTTTACATTACAGTCATTTACTCTTTTTTAATCTATTTGTTGCTTCACTTGTTGGAAAATAAAAGAAATGTTACTTTCATACTAAAAAAACTGATTTTCAGGAAACTATTGGAAGGTATGATCCCAGCAAATGGGAAAGAAGTTCAGGAACTTGTTGAGAAGGCAGTCATTAAAGAACATCAGCAAGATTTTGATTCCATCAATAAATACAAGCTAAGGTTATTATTTATAGGCTTTTATGCCTATTGTTTACACATTTCAATTGTTTACATATTTCAATTGTTTACACATTTCAATTGTTTGCATATTTTAAATGATTTTTTATAATGTTTTTACTTGAAATAAACTCTTCATCAACTTTCTTTGTCTTCATTTATGGACTAAAAACTAACATTAAAAAAAAAAATCAGCTACTAAATTGCTTGCAGGTTTGCAATCATTTTTTATAAATAAATCTTTTCATTTTTAAAATCAGCTAAGATTGCTTGTGGGTTGTTTTTTTTTTTTTTTTTTTTTTTTTATTGATATATAAGTGTGAACTATAACTTACAACATAATTTTGTTTAATAATAATATAAAAGTATACTTCATAACTGGAAGGGCAAGGGTGGCAAAGCGAATGAAATATTTGTTACTTTTTGTTATTTTACTTTTATATGAAAAATTTCTATCTTATGAAAAAAAAGTTCCTTTAATCAGGAATCAGGATCTTTAATCAGGATTTCTTTAAGGCTAAAAAACTTGATTTAATTACAAATGTCTTGACAAACACATTGCTAAATAACTCATTATTAAGTCTAAAAAGTAGAATATAAAGTATAGCAAAAAAATTTTCTAAAAAATATATTCTTTTTTGTGCTAAAAAGCAGGAAAAAAGCTTTTTAATTTAAATTTATTAGTTTAGATTTATTAAACTAAAGACACTAAAGATTATAAAGCTAAAGATCGTAAGTAAAGATAGTAAAACTAAAGTTTAGTAAGCTAAAGACAGGCCTGTCAATCTTTAGTTTACTGAACTAATAAATTTAAATTAAAAAATTTATTTTTTGCTCTTTAGTACAAAAAATAATAACCTTTTTAGCAAATGTTTTTGCTATATTTTATTTAAAATTTCAACAAGAGCTTCATACCAAATTTTGCAATATTTGTTATTAGGGTTATATTTGATATGATTTATTCTTTTTATTATGTTTTTCAATTTATTTGCTCTTTCTACCCATACCGACATTGAAATGAGGATTATAAGCATAGTTTTTCTTCCTTTAAGTGAGCCTTCACCATGGCTAAGGATCTCAACTGCCATATAATTACACCTGTTTCATAGCATCTCCCATCTATTAAAAGCTTTTGAGGTTGTAGCTTTTAAATTTTGTAATGATTTAAATTAGGACATTCTATTAGATAAACTCTACAATAATAAAAGATTACTGATGTATATTGTTAATACCATATATTTTCATTATTCCATGAAAGCAGTGCTTCTGCATCTCACATAGGCTACAAATCTATTTTATCTAAAGCAAGGAATGAGACAGGGATCTATTTTCTTGCCTCATCTCTTTAATATGTACACTAAAAGCTTACTAGCTTACTACCCTACAAAATGAAAATATTGTAGGTACATCAATAAATGGAAACCACATGGATGTTTTAACCTATGCTGATGACACATTTTTAGCTCCACCCTGTCTGGCCTCCAAATATTTACTCTGTAATATATACACACTCTGTAATATATACACACAAACTCTGTAATATATACACACAAAAATTGCATAAAGTTATATACTGACAAAACCAAATTCTTGCTCACCGGTAAAAAATCAAGTTAAAAACTGCACCATAACACTCAACCACCAACAAATAAAGCTAGTAGACTAAAATTAGTATACTTAGTCATCTGGACAACTAAAAGTTCACTTTTTGCCTCACCTATTTTTTGCCTTACCTAATCTTTCAAACATTGATCACAAGATATTCAAATTTTCAAAATAAAATTTTAACTTTAATTTAATCTGGAATTCGTTTAGTATTGATGAAAAAGCTTAGAAACTAAATAAAAACTTAAAAGTATTGATGAAAATGCTTGATATAGTTGGATAAAGAACAATCTTCAAGGATATTCTTAACGAAAAAGTTTCATAATATTTAAGATGTTTTGAAGAAAAACTTTAAAACAAAAAAAGATGATTGTGTTTCATCCTTAATGTAACTTTATTATTCTTACTTGATATGAATTTAATGAAATTTAATCATTAAAATGCATATTTGTTGGACGAAATATCTTGTAATATATTTTATAAATAATATAAATATATATTAATTGGTTTTTGAAAAAGTAGTTTTTCAAAGTTCTAAAAAGTTCAGCAAATTATTATTTATATTATAGGAATAAATTATATATTATAACTTATATATATATCGTATAGTAACATTAAATTATTTTGTTTTTAAATATAAATCATTAGCAGCAACAAACTGTAGCTTTAATAATCTGAATTTAAGTCTATAAAAAAAATGCAGCTTTTACAAGTTTTGGTTTTACAAGCTTTTACAAGTTTTACAAGTTTTGAAACTTCAGTACTACTTCAGTACTTCAGTAGAATATTTTCTTGTATTATAAAACTACATTTAAAAGTATACAAAGCTTAGCAAGAACACTAGTTTTTTCAAAGTACCATTTTCTAAGCCATCATCACTTATGTAAGGCCAAAGATTTGTTTGCTCTGCTGCGCACTGCAGAAGTTATTGAATTTTTTTCTATTTGAAAGCAAAGAATTGAGGTTATTTAATTTAAATTAGGAAACTTGTAGCTCAGTGAAGTATCAGTTGAAATAGTATACAAAATATTATCATAGATTCTAACTTTTTTAATTGTCTTTTGATTTACTTTTGGCAAATGTTTATCTAAAAGTTTGTCATTATTAAATTTTGTAGGTTGATCAAAATATGCAAGTAGGTGCCAGAAAGTATTAGTATGTTGTATACTTAAGAGGTTTCTCTTAAGTATACAACATACTAATTTGTAAAATTATTTTTTTGGGATAAATGAGCTAATAATGTTATCAATCCTAGTAATAGATTTTATAAAATCAATTGGTCAATTTCTTTTTGAACCATCCAAAGGTATAAAGTTCGATTGCAGCTTTTTTGACTGGTTTGTTGAACTCTTGTAATGAATCAAATAGCTTCTATCCTATTCTAAAGTAATTCTCTTTGTTTGTTTTTTTTGTTTTTTTTCTTTAATAATTTTTTCTTTCAATTTAATTGTAGTAGTTGGATTTTTAATTGAATTTGTAGTAGAATTTTATCTACAAACATTCTAGCTGCTTAGCTCACTGCCTGGTAACCTGTCCCACTGTTTTTAACTAGTCAACTTGATATAATTAGTATTCTGACTTTTCTCTAATCTTTTCTTCAACATAGGTAAATCAATTTGTGGAGTCTTATTGCCTCTTTGTCAGATACACACAAAATATGTTCCAGCAAAAGAACCTTCTCACATGGAACATTTTCATCTGTACAAAAGAATATGTTATAATTATATATTACTATATTCAACAATTATCTAGCTTCAAAAAGTATGCTTTTACACAATTTTGCAATTTTTTCTTTTGCTTCTTTTCAAATAGTTTCTAAACTCCAAGCAGTTAGGCATGTAGGTTTTTTATAAAAAAATAAAATTTTAATATTCTTCATCCAAATTAATTGAAATCCAAGAATTGTCTTATAAGTTAATAAAATGTTTCTTCATTTTAGACTTTACTGACTAGACTACTTCAGGATGGCCACAACTCCTCTAAAATCCTCTAAAGTCTTCTTTTTTCAAAAACCTGCTCTAAAATCCTCTAAAAAGTTAAAAATCAAATCTCCTCTTTAAGTCTTCCTTTTTTTTGTTGTATGAAATGAAATGTTTGTTAATGAAATTGAAATAAAATGTCGTTTAGCAGATTTTTATATTACTTTCAATAGTTTTCGAAAATCTTTAATTATTCTTATGAATTATTATAGAGATAAGCAAATTTTCAGTGTAGAAAATGGTTTAAATGTAGTTATTTTCTGTTATGTCTACCATAAAGAATTTATTTGTTTTGTTTAGAAAAGTAGAAATAATGCCTAAATATAAAAGTAAATTTCAAGACTTGTGGCTCATTGAAGATGAGTTCAAATGCTGGTTGCAAAGAGATAAAAAGAATGAAACAAATGCATTTTGTAAAGTTTGTTCCAAGTCCTTCAGCATTGCAAACATTGAAATAGAAAGTATAAAACAGCATGTTTAAGGGAAGAAACATGTGGCAAGATGTCCATCTGATAGCAGTAAGACAAATTTTTTTAAAAAGCTATCTGAAATAACTAATCCACCTGAGAAAATAAATCAAAAACAAGTGAGTTTGGTTGATATGATGTCAAGAGATCAGACATTAAATGCAGAGGTAATTTGGTCACTAAAATGTAAAAAGTTTTAAAATGTAAATATTTATACCGTTCTTCAGAGTCAAAAACTGTTCTGTTCCATGTTTCCTGACAGTAAAATTGCTAAATTTCTTGTGTGGAAAAACAAAATGCAGTTAAATTTTATGTCATGGTGTTGGCCCTTTTGTCAAAGAGACGATGTTAAATGAATTAAACAAAGTCCCTTATTACACCACCTTATTTGATGAATCTTATAACAAAATATCTATAAAAAAAAAGTCAAATGGATCTACATGTTTGTTTTTGGGATGACACAGACAATGAAGTAAAAACGTCTCAATGTAGTTCTGAGTTTTTAGGTAAAGCATTAGCGGTTGATGTTTTTTCTAAATATAATAATTGTTTAAGTTCTTTGGATTGTACTTAAGTCCTCCAAGTTTCTTCTGATGGTCCTAAAATAAATTTAGAATTTTAAAATCTAGTAAATGAAAGCAGAAAAGAAGATTTACTTGATCATTTAATTAATATTGGACATGTAGTCTCCATACCCTTCATCGTCCTTTCCAAACTGGAGAAAAGGCTACTGACTGGAACATTAAAAAATTACTTATTTTTATGTATGAAATATTTAATGAGTCTCCCGCAGAGCTGATTATCAATGTCTTCCCGCAGAGCTGACTATGAATGTCTAACAGCTGCTACTTTTTTTAGGCTATCCTCTTAACTTCTGTGCACACCGATGGATTGAAAATAGTAATGTTGCCAAATGTGCCCAAATGATTTGGCCTAAGATAATTGAAGTTGTAAAGTTTTGGAAAAGCTTACCAAAATCGAAGCAACCTGGAAATGAAAAGCCTGGACAAAATACCAGTTTCGATTGTCTTGTTAAAGCTGTGGAAGATCCCACTATTTTGCTGAAATTTAGATTTTTTGAGGAAATTGCAGCATCATTAAATGAATTCTTAATAACTTTTCAAACTGATAATCCAATGGTTTCGTTTTTTACCGAGTCACTAGACAATGTCCTTCGTAATTTATGCAGCCGTTTTTTGAAGAAAGATATTTTAGAAAAGGCAAACTCTGTATATAAGCTACTCAAAATTAACTTTAATGATAAAGTAAATCAAGTGTTAGTGGAGTCAGTTGATCTTGGTTTTGCTATGAAACATGATATCAAAGTTTTAACAAAAAAGGGAAGTTGATCAATAATCATTTAAACAATCTTCAGTCAGGTGCAGTTATAAATTAGCATACACAAACAATTCAATTCAGTTCTTGTCTAGTTTATGCATTTTACAGAAAAAAGTATATTGATAAAAGTATGTTCGAAGTACTTCTTGTTTGTCTCCTAAAGTTATGTTGGAACTGGTTGAGTTGTCAACAACTTTATTAGAAAAAATGCTTGAAGTTCTTGTTGGTTTAAAAAACTGACATCTGAAACTACGATAAAAGCCAAATAAGAGTATTCAAAATTTTTATCAAATGTTGTTAAGGTAAATACAAAACGATTCTAAAGATTAATTGGGCTCATTTCTTCGGAAGCACATTGGTTCAGATCCCTACTATAAGTCTCTTTGGTCTGCTTCCCGAATATTTTCAGTTTTATCTCACGGTCCGGCTACTGTTGAGCGAGGATTCACTGAAAACAAAATGCTTCATGGTGAAAATCTTAACATGAAAAGTCTTATTTCTCAACAATTAATTTGTGACTATATGAAACAAAAAACTTTGAACCACACAGTTTTCCAATTTCAAAGAGTTTATTAACTTATGTCAAATCTTCTCGTCAAAAATATCAACAACCACTTGTTCATAAATCTAAAATGAAATTGAGCAAGGAGAATGAAAAAGAGATTAAGATTGCTTTTGAAATTCGAGAAATAAATATTAGTTACCTCTTTGGAGAAAATTATTATTGAGTTTAAAGATGCTAGTAACTTTTGCATTAAGATACTGATAACTTTGCATTCGAGGCAGAAAAAAAGAATGATTTAATAATCTTATCCAAATGTAATGCCTTGAAAAGGGCTGTAAAAGTTTGATAAAGAGAGTATTCTTAGTGAACTGAAATGCAAGAAAGTAAAGTTGGTAGAACTTAAAGAACGCATTCATTAATAACAAGTTTATGAGTTGTTTTTTTTTTAAGTCAAGTAAAGTTTATAATGTCTTGATGGTAGTATGATTTTAAAATACCCACTCCTGGTCTGCAAATCTAAAAGGGCACTGGATTGTAAATTATTGTCTTACCAAATCCATATCAATTAAAATAAAAAAATAGCATTATTGAAACATGTCCAAACCACTTAAGTGTGGAAACACAGACGTTAAACCTATAATAGTAAAAAAAAATCCTCTAAAATCCTCTAATTTTTTTCAAAATTTAGTAGTTACGCAAAAAAAATCCTCTAAATTAGATGCAAAATCTCCTCTAAAATCCTCTAATATCCTCTTTTTTTATTAAAATTTTATGTGATCATTCTGTACTTTAGAATTTGACTTTACTCAAGAAGAGCTAAACCTTACAAAATAAGATATCACTAAGTAAAAATTATGAGCAAAAGTATAAAATGTCAAATAGATATAATTGTAAAATAATTTGTAATAATCATACAATAATTTGTAAATAATCGTAGAAGTAAAGAGCATTATATTTTTTAAAGGTTTAGATGGAGAGTGATGCAAAAATGATGGAACAAAGAGTTGAGTTGATTAATTAAGTTGATTATTTAAGAGTTAATAGAAGTTTCCAATTCTAACATCCAGAGAGGAAATAGATCAATTTAAAATTTTATATGAGTATATTGGATTTAACCTTAAAGTATTTAATAGTATTAATAAGTATTGTAATTTATATTTTTTTGATATTTAGTCATGATTTTTTTTCAGGTTCTAAAAGATGATATCCTGCTGAGATATTTAACTAGATATCATCTCTTAAGATAGATGATCACTTAGAATATGTGACCTTTTAGGATAGAGGATCTCTTAGAATAGATGATCTCTTTGGATAGATGATCACTTAGGATAGTTGATCATTTAGGATAGATGATCTTTTAGGATAGATGATCACTTAGGATAGATGATCACTTAGGATAGATGATCACTTAGGATAGATGATCACTTAGGATAGATGATCACTTAGAATAGATGATCACTTAGGATAGATGATCACTTAGGATATTTGATCACTTAAGATAGATGATCACTTAGGATATTTGATTTTTTAGAATAGATGATCGCTTAGGATAGATGATCACTTAGGATATTTGATCTCTTAGGATAGATGATCACTTAGAATAGATGATCTCTTAGGATAGATGATCACTTAGAATAGATGATCACTTAGGATAGATGATCACTTAAGATAGAGGATCTCTTAGAATGGATGATCTCTTAGGATAGATGATCACTTAGGATAGATGATCACTTAGGATAGACGATCACATAGGATGAAAGTGCTTTTATGAATTATTATAGGGAGAAAAAAAAAATTATATCATTGAAACAAATTACATGCAACCATATTTGCTATAATCTAGATTTTTTTTTGCCTGCATGTATTACATAATCAAAAGGTAGGGTAAAACTGTAAAGAGTTATACCAAAAATTAAGGAAAAAAAATTACAGATAAAAGTCTTCACTGTTAATCAAATATAAAAATCTTAGTGATTTTTGGAGCATTTTGAACATATTTAGACATCAATTAGAGATCAATTAGATTAACAATCTTCTTGATCTGCAATGTCTGATTCTTAACAACTATCTTAAAACTAAGTACATTCATGGTTGTAAGTCTTGTCTCTCATGTTGTTTATCTAAAATATGCTTAGCAAATTTTATAGAGCTGATGTTATGTTAGTTAATTATGTTTTGTTATACGATTTTACATTTTTTCAACAAAAAAAACTCAAACATACGTAACAAAGCTTTGGTGAAATAAACTTGAATAGTAAATTCTTAAAGCAACCAAATGCAATATCAGTAAAAAACATGTCAAAACTTATCAAAAAATCAAACTTAAATAGATATTTACTTTAATTAAAATAAATCTGACCAGTCCTCTGTTGATGTATTTATTTTAATTTCTTTAGACTAGAAGAAAAAAATAGAGAATACAATGCTCTAGAAGATGAATTCAGAATGGCACTTCAATTAGAATCAAATCGATATAATGAGGTATTGTTTTTTTTTTTTTTTTAAGAAAATATTTTTTTAAAAACAAGATGATCAAAGTTAGTTGTATTCTTTATTTTCTTATTATTTTTATTTACAGCTCCATGAAGCTTATGAACAAAGTCAAAATGAATTTCATGAGCTCAGTGTTGATTATAAAACTATTAAAGAAAAAGAAATTGACAGTCAGTCACTTATAGCTGAACTTACTTCAGTAATATCAGTTTTGGCTTGGTATTTTTTAAAATATAAATAAGCAATGTATACTCTAATAAAATAGATATAACAACACATTTAGGTAGTTAAAGAACAGAAACTCAAGATAGCAGAGTTAGTACAGCGAAAGCAAGAAGCTATAGTGAATTACAAGGTGTGTGTCATTTGTATCATGTGTATCATAAACATTTTTTGCTTATTCTATTTACATTCATGCAATTCCGAGGCTAATTTGAAATATGTAAATAAAAAGACTAAAAGTTATCATACTAGTTTGTTAATATATTAGTTTATAAAGTCCGATGGATGTTGTACTAAAAATTAATTAATGAAGATAGCGTTATTTTTAGTAAAACCGGAAATTTTTACACAAAAAAGACTGACTAAAAAACCAAAAACAAAATCTGGTCAGAAAAGCATATGTGTTAAATGTGGACAATACCTGAAGGTTTTCTGCAAGTCTCCACGTAGTCTCCTATGTGGAGACTTGCAGAAAACCTTCAGGTATTATGATAAAGAACTGCTTCATGAAATATTTCTACATAATAATTAATTTGCTTATTTAGCTTAGATTTAAATTAAATTAACTTCGGTTGGATGTTAGAAGAGGTGGTGAGAGCTTATAGAAGCATGTAACAATCAAATTGTTAATTGAGTTCTTAATTATTAAGTTCTTAATTCCTGGCTATTGCACACTTTTAAAATAAGTATTTAATATAGTTCATATTATGTGGTATAAGTCTAATTAATCTTTAATTGTAACTAGAGTCAGAAATCTTTTATTATCTAAATCAATAGTCAATTTTGTTCACTGTTATTATATTTTCTTATATAATTCCACTCTTATATTTGTTTATTTTCCATTCTTTTATATGCATTTCTTCTTCCTTTTTTAAAAAAATTATTATTTAATCACATTATACTATAGTTGATTTTATAAAAATCATCCTATACAAAGTTAATTTTCATCAAGGCCAATTCTATAGCCATGAACAATTGGTTGAATTGTCAAATTGGTGATACATTCATAATTACATCTGTAAAGATTTTTTTAACTAATAATGCATTATTTTAACCAGATGTTATTACATAAAAAATTTTTTTCAGATGTAACTACATTTGGAAAAAAATATTAACTAAGAATGCATTATTATAATCATATGTAGTTACATATAGGATTTTTTTCAGATGTAATTACATCTGGAAAAAATATTAGTTAACAGTTAACGGTGATACATTCACATTTTGTTTGCAATGCTTATTCAGTTACAAGATCTCTTTAGAGGTTTCATTGCTTTTGCATTTTGTTTTTATTTTATTTTCTATTAAAATAATATATGTAGAGGTCCATCTAACCAGGAGTGCTTTACCTTCATTTGAAACCAACAAGGACATAGACTAAAGTTCAATAGTTAAGCATAGATTTCTGAGGTTTTTCTATTAGAAAATGAAAATAAACTGACCTACCTACAAAAATGGTTGGCTGAAGTAAGCCATCTTGAATAAGAAACAGGATCTATTTTAAGGTTTAATAATTTTCAGATTACAATTCAAGTCTTATTTCCTTTACAATATATGCTATTGTATGCTAAATCTAAAGTTAGTCATACTCCAGAGACTATGCACGATTTTACTAGGAATTTTCTCATTTAAACCACTGCAGACCCCTAAAGCAAGATATTAAATCTTTTGTTTGCAGATTTTGAATCCCTATAAAATTATTCTTATTTTTTTAGGATCAAATAAAATCATTGGAAATTGAAGTTACAAAACTGAGAAAACTTGCTGTAAAAGTTGAAAGTCTCCAGCAGGTATTTCTATTTATTTATTTGACCTAAAAATGTTTAACAGTCTAAATAAAAAATTACAAGGTTATCGACTTAAAAAAATTTTTTGCCTTGATTTTAATTAGACTCTTGCCATTCCCGAAAATCTGTTAAATTTTTATTTCAAGATAAATAAATCTGTTAAAAATATGTTTCAAAATAAACCTGGGCTTAAAATAATGTTCTAAATTCAATTTTAGGATGAGCCAGAGCTTAAAATAATGTTGTCAGTTCTATTTCAGGATGAGCCAGGGCTTAAAATAATAGTTCTTTGAATTTTCTTTTTTAATTTTGAGCAATAATTTACTCTTTATTTTCTTTTCAATTCTAGTCTTTAGTAACAAAGTTGTGCCTATTTGTGTGACCATAAACTAGTATTAATACTTTGGGTAAATCACATTCAACTGGTTGAGAGTTTTTAAGGTAGATTTATGTTTTTAAGGTAGATTTATGTTTTTAAGGTAGATTTATGTTTTTAAGGTAGATTTATGTTTTTAAGGTAGATTTATGTTTTTAAGGTAGATTTATGTTTTTAAGGTAGATTTATGTTTTTAAGGTAGATTTATGTTTTTGAGGTAGATTTATGTTTTTAAGGTAGATTTATGTTTTTAAGGTAGATTTATGTTTTTAAATAAATTTGCAAATTTTAATTTTTTGTAGCAAAAATAGGAAAATATTTTTATAGCAAACATAGGAGAATATGCTTGAAATATACTTGCTTATCATAATATACTCCAAAGAAATAATAAAAGATATAATTAACATAGTTAAATAACGTTTTAATTTTAATAAAAAAATATTAAACATAGTTAAATAACATTTTAATTTTAATAAAAAAAAAATTATCAATATTTAAATCAGAAGCAACACTTTTTTTTTTGGCCTTATTGTAGACCTAATATAAAAAGATTTTTTATAGAATGCCTACTCCATCAAAAAATAATTTTGGTGGAGTAGGCATTTAACTGTATCTAATTTTCGAAATAGTATTTTTGTTAATTATCAAATAGTCCATATAAAATTAATCAAGTGACCAGTAATATTGATGACCTATAAATCATCTAGGGCTATGTGGCAATATATTTATATAAGATGTCAAAATATCTTGAATTTTGCAAAATGACAGCAATTTTACTTGAAAGAAAACTATCCACAGTGTGATAAAACAGGTTATAACCTTAACTTTCTGACCTTGGAAAATCCTTTGGTAGAATGATACTTACATCATAGTCAGGGGTGACTATGATATAAGTATCAAAATCAGATTACAGCGTTCTGGCAATTTATTTATATTTGAAGTTTCATCCTAGTAAACACAAAACATGTGTAAACATTTTATAAATGTATTAGTATGTATTAAAATGTATTATAGCCATATTAAACACGTCTTGTGTTTACTGGGATATTTTATTGATTACATGAGCATGCAAAATGACAACTTATTTTGCATTTCTACTGCCCTAAATTATGATTATTTTGTTAAAACTATTTAAATTGGGTCAGGGTAACAACATCAGTTTTTGCCATGTCTAATGACATCTGTCCAACAACATCTGAAATTTTATTGGTGTCTAATAACATCTGCGCAAAAATTAAATGAGTATTACAGATGTAGTTACATCTTTTAAATTATCAAATTATACTAACATCTGTGTAACTACATCTGTGGATTCTACAGATAGAGTTACATCTTTTAAATTATCAAATTGTAATGACATCTTCGCAACTACATCTGTAGATTTTAAGATAAAGTTGTTTTTAAGATGAATTAACTAATAATGCATTATTTTAACCAGATGTTATTACATACAGAAATTTTTTCAGATGTAACTACATCTGTAAAAAAAATTAACTAATAATGCATTACTTTAACCAGATGTAGTTACATGTAGGATTTTTTTTAGATGCAATTACATCTGGGAAAAAAATATTAACTAATAATGCATTATTTTAACCAGATTTAGTTACACTAAGGAATTTTTTCAGATGTAACTACATCTGGAAAAAATTCTTCCAGATGTTATTGGACTTAAAGAAAAAACTACCAGTAGTTACATCTTTCTAAAGATGTAACTACTGGTAAAGATGTAACTACTGGTAGTACATCTTTTAGTAGTTACATCTTTCTAAAGATGTAACTACTAAAAGATGTAATTATGTTGTTATGAGTCAGTTAGATGTTGTTAGTTAAATGTTGTTATCTTTCTAAAGATGTTGTTAGGGATCGTTGAAATTTTCATGATAAAGTCCACTTAAAATTTGTGGAAAATGTTGATCTTGTTTGAGAAGGAAGGAAAGTGGAGAGGACATTACACTCCCATCATTGTTTAAGTTTGAGACAATAGTCTCAAACTTATACAATTATGTTTAAGTTTAAGCAAACACTCTGTGTTTGCTTAAACTTGAACATCATTGCCTTTAATCAAACAATGGCATCAAGAGATTAGCAGATACTATAAATCAGTCAATCTCACAACAGATTGTTAGGAAAAATTACACCATAAAATTTAATGAATTCAGCTAGTAGCTTGTACATCACAGACTGTCATACATTGCAAAGATTTTCATGAACTTATATGAAATTATAGCCATGAGAAGTATGTCAAAAAGTCACATTGTAAAGGTTGGAAACCTGTTGAACAAAAGTGTATCTTTATGGTTTTAAGAATATTTTTTGAAAAAACTTAACCTACCCTATTGCAACATCCTGACATGATTCATTGTGATGTTAACGACACTGCTATATTTATCAATAAGGTTTTAATTTGGTGGAAAATTTTAAATGTCAAAGCCATTGTTGCTGATCCAAGGCAACTTGTATACATCAAACTTGTTATTGAGATTTATGTCAATATTTACTACAATAAAACTATACAAAACTATGTTTTTCTTGGTCAATTTACATCAGATTATCTGGAAAAAGAATATAGTATACTTCGTCAAGGTTGGGATATATATTTTCATAGTGTTCAGCAAGTTATTGAAAAACTATGTATCAAACATCTTTGTTTTTGAAATTAAGTATAGGTATTATTCCAATAATGCAAATTGTTTTGTGGTGGATTAAAAATTGCAACTGATAATTTTTGCCAATGGACTTTGAATTCTTTGTTTGGTTTGATAAGAATTTCTACTAAATATAATAAAATATCAATTTTATATTTTTGATGGTAAATCCAATTCTAATTAAGTTATACAATTATGTAATTATTGAAGTTTTGAATTAAAAAAAAATTCTTTGTGTTTTATTTAAATTGTTTATAATTTAAGATTATTTTTAATCATAATACAATTTATTCAATAAACTTTAAATGAGAACTTCAAGAGATTTAGTTATGCTATTGTTTTGCTAGTGTGAATTTTGATACTTGATCTCAAACTAGTAGTTTAATAATTTTTATAAATTATTGATACTTCTAAATGATACATGGTCAAAAAATAAGAATTGTCTAGAAAAATAGTTGGCAATATTAATACTGTGGCATGAAAAGTATTCTCTGTCAATAGCTAAAAAATACAATATTTTAACTTCAACTGTTTAGAATATTAAAAAAAAAAAAAAGAAACAGGAAGTGTGATCAATCAATAAAAATTAGGGTGCTGTCAAATTTCATTTGACTGAACACAAAGGTTTTACTACTAATAAAAATAATAGATTATTAGCTAGTAAAAAAAAAAATAAATAGAATGTATAATAAACTGCTTCCAATTTTCCAATTATTAATTGCTTCCAAAATTCCAATGTTTAATAGTTTTTGGGGAGCATTTTACAAAAATTTGTATAAATTATTTAGGTGAGTTAGAAAATGGTTATTGTTAAGTATAATAATTTTTTCTCCCTAATCACCAGATCTCCTACCGAACTTTATGGTATGAATTAAAAAGAAATGTTAAAAAATTAAGTCTAATGGTTCAAAATAAAAATGTAATAGTGAGTGGCATAAAATTCACTTTTACAAAATGGAATATTTAATATGTAGAATCTTAAGAGTATAAAAAAGGGGTTGTTGCCACCAAGGGTGGGTCTCATGTTTTACAAGCATTGGACACGTTCATTTGACACATTTTTACTCTATTTCTTTTACTGGTTACTTTTATTCTTATTCTTTGTTTCTAGGACAAAGATAGAATGGTTTCACATATTTGTAACCAAGAAGCGGTGGTTCAAGGTTTAAGATCAGAAAGAAAATGTTGGAATGAAGAGCTTGCTCAGCAAAGTAATTGATTTTTATTTATAATAATTATGTTATGGTCATAGAGTTGAACTGATTCTGTGCATGTGGAGGCTCTCCAGTTATAGTGAAGGCAACTTACCAATTAGAAAATACTCTGGTAAAAAGCTCTCCTCACCCCAAATAAAGTTAAGAGTTAGTAGGAGGAGTACAAACCATAAAATTTGATATACTTACATTTTTCAATTTATTATTTATGCATGTATTTAGGTTTGCTTTGTTCACTTTTGTGTTATATACCAGTATATCTGTGTTATAACACAGTTTTGTGTTATATACCAGTAAATATGTTCTTTTTTAAGAATAGAAAAATAGTTCTTTTTAACTTTATTTTTCAATGTTTTAATTTTAGTTTTAATTTAATTTTTAATTTCAATTTAATTATTTTTTTATTAGCACCATTTATATATGTTTTGTATTTTTGTATAAATTTATGTATGAATTTATTTGCACTGTATTTATGCTTGATTTTGACTTATGCACTTACATTATTTACTCTTACTCATGTTCCTGATCTGTAAAATACAGGTTTTGATAAGTCTATTTAACATTGATCATTTCTATACTTATATACTTATTAACTTCAAAAATTTTTACATAAAAGTATTTTTAACAAAGATTACAGATGTGTAACATTTCTCCCGGTGTTTTTGGAAACTTAAGGCTATAATAAAATATAACTTTTTCATTAAGATTATATTTATTTAAAAAGCAAAAGAGGACACAGAAACGGGTTACAAACCTAATTATGTCAAATATGTTAGCTCTTTCCGTTTTTATATCTTGTAGGAACTTTTCTGTAATAAACTCAATTAATTAAGCTGTTTTTAAATTATTATAGTTGTTGTTTGTGACAAAAGTTGACACTAAAAAGGTATGTAATAGAAAGCATCAGGGTCGTAAAGTTGATAAAGGTGATTATACTTTTATCACCAAGGTGATAAAAGTATAAATGGTTTCAATACATGTATAAAAATTTAAAGGATATATAAAAAAACAAAGCAAATATGGCCAATATATCTATACGAAATAATAATTTTAAAGTGAAAAAGTATACCATTACTTAAGAAACAAAAACCATACTTTTCTTGAGATAAAATAAAAGTATTGATAACAAAAAAATACAATAAATTATAATAATGGTAACAAAAAAGTACAATAAATTATAATATTTTACTAAAAGCTGTCAGGGCTCATATGATACGGGACATAGTATCTATGTTACACACCCGACTATATCTGAACTTATTTTCTTATTTTGACCTCCTTAATCTAATGAATAAACAGCAGAAAATTAATTGATTTAAAAGTTTTTGGTTTTTGGTTATTTACAATACTAATCTCAATACTTTTAACATATCTTCAAATAGCATTTCTCCCAGTATTTATTGAAACTTAAGGTTATAATTTTTTTTTTTATTAATTCATTTTTTTAAACTCTCACACATAAAAATTAGTTTAAAAAGCAAATGGATACAAAAACGGGCCACAGGTCCTAGTTGTCAAATAAGTTAGTTCTGTGTCAACTATGTCAAATAAGTTAGTTCTGTCTGTTTAACAATTTTTATATATACTTTTCTGTATAGTACTCTTAACAAAATCTTCCAATTAAGCTGTTTTTAATACCAATTTAGGCAATTAAATAATGATTATAACTGTTGTTTGTGCTGAAAATTGATACTTATAGCAAATAGAAATCATCTGGATTGTAATCATTAAAGGTGATAAAAGTATAAATGGTTTCCTTTCACACACAAAAATACAACCGAAATATAAAAAAAAACAATGCAAAAATGGCTAATATCCATACAAAATAATAATTCAAAAGAGAAAAAATTTAAATATTTATGTGAGATACAAAAAACATTTTTCTTGAAATAAAGTAAAAATATAAACTTTTAAAAAAAATTACAAAAAAATATATTTAGCATAAAAAAGTATCCAAAGTACTTATAAGGGGCCATCCATAAAGGACATCACCATTTTTTAGCCAATTTTTGAACCCCTTTCCCCCCCCCTCCCCTTTGTCACAGGTTGTCCTTTTTCCCTATACCCCTCTGGAAAAGGGCGTCATAAAATCCTGACCCCCCATCCTCCCTATTTTTAACTCTAAAAAAATTTATTTCATTTTGCAATGATGTTTGAATCTGCTGCTACACCTTTGAAAAATAAAATTAAAAATATTCTCATACATTATCTTCTCAAAAACACATGTTTTTGAGAAGATAATTTACCTAGTTTTCCATGTTAATTAAACTAAAATAAAAAATCTTTAAAGTGGCGTCCTTTTCTGACAACCTCCCCCCCCTCCCCTTGTCCTTTTTTGTCCTTTTAACTCGACCCCCTCTCCCCCCACCCCCCACCCCAAACCTATTTGCATGATGTCCTTTATGGATGGCCCCTAAAAGCAATTTAAATAAAAACATTGTTTTATCATATAGCTTTTTTAAGGAATTTAACCTGAATGGAACAAAATTATTATTGGAAAAACTTATAACAACTTAATTAATGTGTTAAGTACTCTATTTATTTGAAAACTCAAAAATGTGACTAAATAGATAAATTACTTTAATAGATGTTGTGTTTTTTTTTCAAGAAAGATTCAAAATTTATTGTTGCAAGTTTGGATTATAAACTCTTTTTAAAAAAGCAAGGCTAAAAAGAGATAATCCCACAAAGATAAAAGTGTATATATATATTTTTAAAATAAATCCTTGGCTTTTAGTGAATGATTTTAGTGAATGAATATATGTAGCCAGTTTTATTAATGAAATGACCCAATATACATTTTTTATGATAGGTACTAACTTTAAGTTAAGCCAAGTCGTCTATCAACTCAAAACATTACAACAATATCATCACATAGTTAACAAATTGTTTAACATGTTACCATAAACTCTCAATAACTCAAACCTCCTAGGGACTAAGATATTAGCTTGTTAGAGAATGTTAGAGTTACTAGGAGTTTAATCCATAAAGGCTCAAACTGGTATTTTAAAATTAGTTTAAGTTATTTAGGGTTAATGAGTTATCCAGAGTTTATTGTACATATTTTAACTACACATATACATAGCACACACATAGAAATGCCTACATAAATATTTACAAAATATAAATCCATATAACCTTATAACACATATTAACACATAATAACACACATTACCTCATAATATGTCAGATAAAAATACTTATTAAAAATAATACAAATATAACATCTAAAATACAACATTACTTGTGTAATATTTGTTCAATGAGATTTGAAATGCATGTTTTTCAAATTTAAAAAATAAATTATTAAATGATTTGCTTCTGGCACGTGCTACATAGAATTTTAGTTGCGTGAAAACCAAGGCTTTTTGAGATTAATATCAACTTTATCAAATTTTATAACAATTATTTTAGGTTTAAACAAATTTAAAAAAAATGTAATGTAGCTCAAATAAATAGCTTTAAAAAAGACTTCAAAAACTGCAAGCTAACAAACAAAGTTTTAATAAGAACATTTTTTTTTATATTATTTTTAAAATTTACAAAAAATATTTATAACAATCTATTTCTATTAACCTATGGTATAGACCCTGTGGGTCCCTTATTTAATTTTCTAAATGCCAAAAAGGCTTTACAGTAAATCTGGAAATGAAAAATAGCATATAAAATTCTAAAGTTTTATTTTTATAACAACCTATAAAAACTGCAAATGTGTTGTTAAAATTAATGTTCCTCCTGTTACTGTTGGGGTTGCGCTTGTTGATGTTGTTGTAACAACTACACTGACTATGAGAAGTATTTATTAAAATGTGTTATTTAATTCAAAATTATACATTTTATGATAAAATTAACTACAAAGAGATTTTTTAATGTGTTTCATTATAACAGTACACCACTTGGCCGGCAAGCACAACATTCTTACTCTCAAGTACACCTCTGGGCTAGCAAAGACAACACTTTTGCTGTAAACTAAGCCAAGTCACAATACTTGAAACTGCAGAGCAGCATAATAACCACATAATAATTATAAACACATAACACATATAGAAACACTTTATATTTACCAAATATTGACAAATAACACACATTATCACATCATATGACACATAAAAATACTTAAATTTATAAATTAAAAAAGGTATATAAATTAGAAACATTTACAAATACAACCTTACTTGTGTAATATTTGTTCAATCATATACTTTGTAATGCATACTTATCAACTTTAAAAAACTAACAAGGTTATTTAAAATCTATCAGAAAATCTGTAACAACTAGGTTTACAATAACAACAACCGGGTTTTTATTAAGAACAATTGGCTTTTTAGTAATATGAACTGGTTTTTAGAATTTGTTTTGTTTAAGTAATTATAAAAAATGTGGTGTTTAATAGTAAAACAATAGTTGTTTACAGAAAAGTACATTCGTAAATACAACATTTTTTTAAATGACCATTCAATACTTTGTAATGAATGTTCATCAATTTTTAAAAAAAGCTATTAAACAATTTTGTTCTTGAACATGCAACATAGAGTTGACCGTTTGAGAAGCAAGGGTTTTTGAAATTTACCAACTTTATCAAGGTTTGATCTTTCAAAAAGAGCATCGTTCTCGAGTTCTCTAAAATAAAAAACAAATATTAATATACTTTAAATACAGTTGACGAAGGACTTGAGTTGTGTTATTATTAAAATGCATGAATTAAATAAATTAGCTGACTAAGTTATTATACTAATTTAAAAACAAAATAAGGTTTATCTATTACTACAGAAGTCATCAAATTAGTATCTAGTATAAATGTTTTTAGATCTTATAACTGATTAAGCAGATATTAACAGATTATAATAGAGATAATAAAGATTTAATTATTATAGAATAATTAATAATTAGAATATGTCAGTTTTAATTTAATGCAAGGTTTGTAAATACAAATCTAATAATAGAAAACCTCTATAAACAATCATATATTTGCTTCAAGTAAAGAAAAATAGAAATATTGAAACTTCTTAGACTATTTTAATTTTTTATATATAATTAATATTCTAAAGAAAAAAGGTCAATAATACAATGCAGAAATATATATATATATATATATATATATATATATATATATATATATATATATATATTTTTTTAATTATTTTTTAATTTTGCAACGGATTTGATATAAGGTTTCCAAGAAAGATCAGAAGTAAGAGTTAATCCTAGAAGATGAAGGGTAGGAGACTCATTGAGTACATAACTGTTCATAAATATAGGAAGGTCTAAATTATTGCGATAACGATTGGCCGAAAAAAATTGAGTTTTATCTGAATTAAAGTTCACCAGCCACTGCAAGCCCCATGCTGTAGCAGAAGTGAGATCCTTTTCAAGCTCAGATGCCCCCTGCAAGCAATCAGAGGGAGTTGGCTTTTTATCGTGACAAGAATAAATGGTAGTATCATCAGCGAACAATGCCACCTTAGATGTGAGAATATCTGGAAGATCGTTAATGTAAATTAAAAAGAGTATAGGGCCAAGGATTGAACCTTGGGAACCCCTGAGGTTACAGAATAAGAAGGAGAGTGCTGTCCATCGAGGACAACTTTTATACTATGATTGGAAAGGAAGGATTCAAAAATCTTAAAGATGTTTCCAGATACACCATAAGAAGTAAGCTTATGGAGGAGACCAGCATGTCAAACTTTATCAAACGCTTTAGAAATGTCAAGAGCAATGGCCTTAACCTCTCCACCTTTATCTAATGCGCGATAAAACCTATCGGTTATTACTGATAGCAAATCAGCCGTAGAACGAGAAGATCGAAATCAATATTGATGATCAGAAAGTAGGTTATGAGATTCGAGATGATATATATATATATATATATATATATATATATATATATATATATATATATATATATATATATATATATATATATAGTAGGTTATGAGATTCGAGATGATATATATATATATATATATATATATATATATATATATATATATATATATATATATATATATATATATATATATATATATATATATATGTAGATATATAATTATAATGAAATATTATTATGGAGAAAACATTCTCTATACAAAAAATCCCAAAAAAAAAACATATTTAATTTTTGTAAATTTTAGATATAATATAAAAAAAAATGTTTTTATTAAAACTTTGTTTGTTAGCTTGCAGTTTTTGAAGTCTTTTTTAAAGCTATTTATTTGAGCTACATTACATTTTTTTTAAATTTGTTTAAACCTAAAATAATTGTTATAAAATTTGATAAAGTTGATATTAATCTCAAAATGCCTTGGTTTTCACACAACTAAAATTCTATGTAGAACATATTTAATGAAAGAAAATAGAAACTCTTAAATGTTTAAACGGGAAGGAGTTATTAGTAAAAAGGAAAAAGCCAGTTTTTTTACAAAATTTATTTATTATTAAAAGCATAAGTTGTTAACAAAAAAGAAAAGCATATATATCTTTTAAACAATTTTTTTACAAAATACAAATTGTTAACGGAAAGCAACAGAGTATATATCTTTTCAGCAAAATTTACTTAAAAAGTAACAGTATATAAATATTTAATGAAGTATGTATCTTTTCAATAAAATTTATTTTAAATTATAGATATTAAAAAAAATTATAGATAATATAAAACTATATAGAGTCATTCCGTGCCAACTGGACCAGGGCCCAACATGGACCCCTCAAATTTTGATGGGTTCCTTATTATTTCTGATAAAAGCAATTCCTGAAAATTTCAGTATAAAATTTTTTGTGCTTCATGAGATATGATCATATGAAATTTCTGATTTTTCCAAAAATAAAAACTTTAGTAGCAAAAACATGTTTTGTTCATACTTTGAAGCTCTATATTTAAAAAAAAAATTTCAGATAACCTAGTTTTTTTTTTATTGTATAGAACTCTAGACTTACTTTAACAAAACTTTGACATTGAATTCTCAAATGACACATTTTTTCAATAATTGCTCCCTAAAAAACCTAAAATATTGTTTGCAAATATAAAATGTGGATTTTTGATGAGTCTATATACAAAACCTGATGTTTAATAAGTGAAAAGACATATTTTTTTTAGTTTCTATATATGGCAGGCTTCCAAATTTTTAGAAATTTTCTGATAAGATACAATTCAGTAAAAAATTATAGACTTCTAAAAATGGCTGTGGCTAAAACTTAGGAAAATGTGCCTCCACATTAAACCACCAGTAACCTAGGATCAACTCTGGTTTTAATAAGATTTTTTTTTCTTCTAATTTAGTAGACTTTTTACAGTAATTTCTGAAAAAAAATAGTGGGTACTCATGGGGAAGTTACAAAATCAAAACAATGGAAATTACCCAAAATGCATTAAAAACAAGAAAAATAAAGTTATTGTTGTACTTTAGTTTGTATTATATATTGTAATCCAAAGTATGTATGAATTTCAAAGTATTTCATAATCAGTACTAGAAATAAGTCTTTAATTAAACTTAGTTCTTAAATTCCCTAGCTCTTTCCGCCCCGCCCCTCCTCCCCCTGCCCATTTACTTTTTATCATGCACATTTAGTCTCAGAACTTAGAAAAAAATTGTAATGGAACACTTCTCCTTAGATGGTGTGTCTGGTTTTATTACTGATGTATAAAGTGCCTTTATGTCCAAACATACCACTAAACATACACATATAAAAACTGAAATTTAGTTTATAATGTTTTTATGTAAAACTTATAAGTAGCCAAATACGTAAAAATGAAAAGAAATACTTTTAGTCTAATTTACCTAATATTTAATATTATGACTATAAATTTTATAATATTTTTCCTATACATTTACTATTCCATCCCTTCCCATTAATTTGACTTGTTTGATTATCATTTTTAAATTTAGATTAAACTTATATACCAAGTTATAAGAGTTATTTGACTTGTCATCACAATGCACAAGTTGATTATTTAGCATCACAAATACCATATATTTCAGACTATAAAGACCTCTTGACTTAGTTAGTTGTATGTGACTAAATATATGGAGACTGCATGCTGTACAGTTACAATAACTTCCCAGATACCAATACACTAAAATAATATCTTACTGCTTTGTTTGATAAACACAACATGGAAGTTATTACCTTTAATCAGTGGCAAAAAGCTAACAAATGACATGATTTAGTTCCAGTAACTATATGATTACTATATTTATTTATATTTTGTATAGGATTCAGTGTATGATTTTATTGAAAAAACTTGTCAACAAATAGACCAATTAATAGACCACTATTGTATAGCCAAAAATCAAGCAGCATATTTGCTGCATCTAAAAATAACATTACCAAATAATCATATTATAGTATTACTAGACTTTTGAAAATTAAAGTTTTCTAATTCAAGATGCAGTACATGGTTTTCATTCAAACAACAGTCAAGCATCATTGCATCCTTTTGTTATTTATTTCATGGAAAAAAATATGATAAATTCTAAAAGTGTTTGTATCATTTCAGATCATTTGCAACACACTACAAACTCAGTTCATCGTTTCATTTATGAAGGAATAAAACAAAAGAGTTGTTACCTTACTTTAACGATTGCATTTATTTTAGTGATGGGGCAGGATCGCAATACAAAAATTAAAAAAACTTATCTAGCTTATGTCACCATGAACTAGATTATAAAGTATCTGCAGAATTGCACTTACAGATCCTAATAATATACCTAGGTTAACACCCAAGTCACAATAATTTGAAACCATACAAACAACATAATAACCACTTACAAACTATAAACACATAACATTATATATATATACATATATATATATATATATATATATATATATATATATATATATATATATATATATATATATATATATATATATATATATATATATATATATATATATATATATATATATATATATATATATATAATACATCACAAACATATTCATATATAAAAACACTTCATATGTAAAAGATATTTACACATTTACAAAATATAAACCTATATAACCTTAATACATATAAACACATAATAAATAACGCATAAATATAATTAAATATATAAATTAAGAAAAATATATAAATTAGAGACATTTACAAACACAACCTTATTTTTGTAATTTTTGTTTAATGACATACCTCCTAATAAATGTTTACCAACTTTAAAAAAACAAACAATCAAACAACCTGGTTTTTTATATTATAAAAGCAAACAGATTTTCTATTATTTCTTTAAAATAAGATATTAAACGATCTTGTTTTTGAACATGCAACATAGAGTTGATCTTGTGAGATGCAAGAATTTTGGAGATAAACACCTTATCAAAAGCTTGACCTTTTGACTTAGCTAAAATGCACTTACTTACACTACTGTGTACTTAAGCTAAGATACACTTACTTACACTACTGTGTACTTAAGCTAAGATGCACCACCACTACCAAGTACTTAAGCTACAATGCACTTACAGTAATGAGTAAGTTTTGATTAACATAAGTCAATATTAATTAAAGTTTACAATAAATTTATACTAATAATTTTATGCTAATTTTAGGTTCATCATTGGTTTTAGACTGTAACAGGTTGAATGCTCAAGTTGAAGCTCAAAAAAATGAAATTTCTATTTTAAATAATAAGCTCACAGTATGTTTAACATGTTTTAGTTTGTAAATAAAAATAGTATTTTTGTTTTATGATCATTTTTATTTTTTGTTTTATTGAATTATGCAGTTACTTATTTAAAAGGACCTTGAAGATGCTTTAAAGATAAAGGCCAAGATGATTTTAGATCAAACAGACACAATAAAGAATTTAAAAATGGTATATATTTTTTTTAAATAAAAAATTTATAACATATTAACAATGCAGCGATGCATTTGTTGATATTTGGCTGTAGATTTTAATTTTTAGAAATATTAGGCTTTTTTTAATTACAAAGTTATTAACTTAAAGTGGGTGATTCTTATTCCAATGGTTCTCAATGAATTATAAGAATCACAATTATGTTGTTTTTTAACAAACTTTTATGATTCCAGTTCTTTTGATATTTTTATTTTGCACTTTAATAACTAAACTTCTTTTATAAATGTTGAGGATATTCTAAAGATATACACTGAAGCAGTAACTTACAAAAAAATATAGTTAATGCTTTTTTTTTAATGCTAAAACTATGTGATCAAAAAAATTTACATTTAAAATACAATTTCAAATACAAAATATATGATACTAAATATTTTATGATTTTTATTTATATATATCTTTTATTTTTATATATTTTAAAACACAATAAGCATAATGAAATCATAAAAATTTAAAGAAAATTAAATTTCTTAAATAGGAAATCAATTTTTATTGCCTTTTTGTTATCCATCAAACTTAACCTTAAACTTTGCTTAAATTATTATCAAAGATGCCCAACATAGATCATCTTTACATCGCCACGTGAATGTACTACATGAAGCAGATTTTTTCTTAAATTTAATGTCTTGATATTCTGTTACTTACCAATGAAAGTGACACAAGTATACTTTGGTGGTCTTGTGTCCCAGTTGCTATAGAAGATGTGTGGTATCATAGTTCCAAATTGAACTCAATGAAATTATCTATAAAGCAATATGATTAATGTTATTATTAATATATTAATATAATATTCTAAAAAAAAATTTTTTTTTTAATTAGTAAAGAAAAATGTTACAAAAAAGCAGTTCTTTAACTGTTAAACAGGTTTAAAAATCTATGACTATCTTCAAAATTTTAAGATAATCATGTTTTTTTAAAACTCAATATAAAATTCTTTGATATTGGCTATATGACGTCATTTTTAGATATATTGCTTTAAAGTCAGGTAAATGTTTATATAATATAAAATTCTACCTGATTTTATTTAATTTATGTAAAATATTATAATTATAAAAACATCCATTTACTTTTTTTTTTTTTTTTTTTTTTTTTTTTTTTTTTTTTTTTTTTTTTTTTTTTATAAATACCTTTTGATTAATATGTATTAAAAATTTTAAGAAAAAGATATCTTAGAATACCAGATGTTTTGCGTTTTGAGATCAGTTTTTTTTTTAAATCCTGATCTGGCCTTTGATAACTTTTTTAAGTTATCAAATAAGTAAATAAATTTTTAATTCAGCTCTCTAATTAACTTAACCATGAGTAGATCAATATCCAATTGATCTAGTTCTTAACTAGCATACTTACGTTGTGCGAACGTATGTAAATACATCACAAATGTCTGCTATTTTCTCTGATGAGAATACAACGTTGATCTAATGTTAGTTTTATCGTATTTATATTAATAAAAACTTTAATAACAACGTCATTAAAATAATTGGCACAATTACATTGGTCCAATGCATGTAAAAGTATCGCAAAAGTTAGTTGTTTTTCCCATGTAAATCCAACTTTGATCCAATGTATATGGATTAATGTTGACCAAATGTGTATAACCCCACATTGAATCAATGTATATGAATTAACATTGATCCAATGTTTATATTGGAACATTAATCCAATGTGATTAATATTGGGTTATATACATGGACTCAAAGTTGATCCATATACATTGGAACAACATTGGATTTTATAAAGTGGATCAACATTATGTTTACATCAAAAAAATTATACAAATATATACTTGTATAATTTATAAGAATTATTTTTCTTTCAATTATTTCAGTTGATTATGGAATTATAAGGCCGGGTGAATAAAAATAAGGCCGGGTGAATAAAAATAAGGCTGGATGAATAAAAATAAGGCCGGGTAAATAAAAATAAGGCCGGGTGAATAAAAATAAGGCCGGGTGAATAAAAATAAGGCCGGGTAAATAAAAATAAGGCCGGGTGAATAAAAATAAGGCCGGATGAATAAAAATAAGGCCGGGTAAATAAAAATAAGGCCGGGTGAATAAAAATATGTGAATAAAAATTGCTTTTGCTCAATAATTGCTCAGCTTTGCATAAATAAAAATTTAATACAATTTTTGTAATGTAAAATAAAATGTAAAATACAAAGTTGAATCAATGTAAAATATTGCGCAATGCCAACTTAAATTACAACGTTGGGTCAATGTTGCTTTATGGTTGTTAGTCATGTTGCAATTGTAATCAAAATGACATAAAAACAATGTTAACGGTCAATGTTGGGCCATCGCAACGTGCAACATTGTTCAAACATTTTATCAATGTATATGTACTAGCTGGGTTAAAATAAAATTTAAATTCTTAAGTTCCTTAAAATTATGATTCAAAATCTTAAATATAAAAATATATAACATTTCAATTCAAAAACAAAAATATTAAACATTTTGTATTTCTAAAAGTTTCAAAAGCTATCTTATAAAAATTGAAGTATAAAACTGTTCAAAAGTTGTTAAAAACCATTCTTGAAGAGAAAAAATTTAATGCAAAATAACCCAGTTTTTAAACAGAGTTTTCTAAAGAACCAATTTAAATAAACTTTTTCAAAGTAACTAAATAAGAAATGAACACAGTCCTTCAAAATTAAAAATTACTTAAAACATTTGAAACAAAGAAATACCTGTTACCATAGGCTATAGAAAACATCTGCTGATTCTAAACATTATTAGAAAATTTTTGTTATAGCAAAGTTTGTGACTTAGCTAGATGAGAAACCCTTTGATTTAAAAAGTTTTATTATAAGATATAAGTTTTTAAAATTCTTGAGATTTTTTTATGACTTTAGTGCAGTTCAAAGTAAAATATATATGCTTCTTTACTGAGATGTTTATATATATATATATGCTTTTTTACTTGTGAAACATGAGATGTTTATATATATATATATATATATATATATATATATATATATATATATATATATATATATATATATATATATATATATGCTTTTTTACTTGTGAGACTAGCATGGCAAAAGAAATTTGAATTGTTGTTTTGATATTTTAAACTAATTTAAGTAATTTTTGCGTTGAACTGCCCTTTTGTGATATAAATAGAAAATATTATTTTTGAAATTATACTTTCTTTTTTTATTAAGGTATTATTTTAACTCAACAATTCAACCTTTATATAATTAATATAATATCCATTTTACATATTTATATATAGTATATTTTATATAAACTTATATAATAAATAAGTATTTAAACAGAATTCAAAAAAAAATATTTTCAAAAACTTTAAATATGAGTTTACTTTTTGTAACTCCACAATTTTTTTTTCCTTCTATTATTTATTTTTTATTTTATTATTACAGGAAATGGTAAAAGTTAAGAATGAATCAAAGATTTCCATTGAAGAATATAATAAAGAACGTCTTTGTATAGAAGAAGAACTTGAGCAAGAAAAAATGTTAAATAAAAATTTACAAGTTAGTTTTTGTTAAGAGTTCTTGATTCAATAGAATTTGAAACTGCTTTTACTATTGTTTTTAAAGATATATTAAAAATTGACCAAATTTTCAGGAAAAGTTAGAAAGGTTAAATGAACAGAAAAAAGAGTTAAAAGAACATATTTTATCATGTGAAAAAGAGCTTACCCAATCTAAAAATGAAGCTAGGTAATTCAAATTAAACTTTATTGTAAATTTATTTTCTTTTGTTTGTTATTTTAAATATTTTTTATCTTTTAAAGTTTTAAATTTATAGGGGACTTCGTGAGAAGTGGAAAGAACGCAGCGAGATTATTGATCAATTAGAAAATAAAGTTTTAAAGATGAAAAATTCATTTGATGAAAAAGAAAAACTTATAAAAGAAGAAAATCAACTTCTGAAACAAAATCTAAAGTATATCATTGTATATGATTGCGCACACAAAAATTATTACAATACACGCGCACAACACCCACATACATACAAAAATAAGTAATATACACACACACAACCATACATACATGCAAAAAAATATTATTACAATACACAGACACAACCACACATACATACAAAACAATATCATTACAATAAATACACACACAACCACAAATACATACAAAAAAATATTATTACAATACACACACACACACACAAATACATACAAAAATAAGTAATATCACAATACACACACAACACACACATACATAAAAAAAAGTCGTAAATAGTTGTCTGTAAACTCAGCATGGTTGTCTGTAAACTCTGCAATAGTTGTCTGTAAACTCAGCAAAGAGATGATGGCATCTCTTGTGCCATCAGTTCTTTGGAATTTGCTCTCTTCAAATTGTTTTTCTGATTCATATAGTTTGCAGTCTTTTAAGTTGTCTGTTATTTGTTATCTTACTTTATTAACTTCATCTTTTTCTCTTCCAGTAACTTCCGATTCCAATAGCGGTTGCTTGCAGCCTTGTCGGAAATGAAGAGGTTTTTAAAATGTCATTAAAAATGCTATTATCATCAAATAATTATAAAACTTTTACAGCCACATTCAAACATAACGGCTTCATAGTTGATTAACTTTTATAACTACTACACTAGTGTTGACATTTTATTATGTTTCTGTCAGGTTGTTTTGTTTGCACAATCAGAGGTCTTTTTCTTTGTTTAAACAATGAACAGCTAAAAATTAATCAGGTTTTTATCTTTTGTCATTAACATTTTATTACATTGTTGGCAATCAAAAGTACATGTCCAAATGTTATTAACAATACATTTAGCCGATATTGTTAAAAACCATGGTATTTTTTCAAATTATTAATAAAAAGTCATCCTCCATATATAGTTGTAAAAGAACGAATTGGTTAAAGTATTTATACGTGGCGTAAATGTAAAGAGTAAAATGTCTTTACTTAATGGAAACTCTTATATGAAGTGCCACACTTAAGAAAATGTTGTTGAGTGATTTTTTTTTACAAATGTTTTAAAAACAATAAGACATTTTAAAATGTGAATTTATCAGCTAAGTTTGAATTTTGAACAAAGTATACAGGTTGTTTCATAATATAATTTTGCTAAAAAATATATAATATACTATATATAAAATATACAGCTACATTCGATCATCAAACTTTGATAGGCCAAGTTATGCCTTCAACTCTATTGCCTAGCAGCGTAGTTTTTCCTTCAAGTCTGTCTGACGCTAAAAGTCTGTTTGACGCCAAAAATCTGTTTGACCCTAAAAGTCCGTTTGACGCTAAAAACGTGTTGACAATTACTGAGCCTCAAACATAAATGATAAAAAAAAAAGATAAAGAACAGCCGGAAATAAATACTTAAAAGTTCAATAGGTTTTTCTAAAGTTTTACAAAAGTTTGTAATTATCAAAAATATTTTATTACATTTTGTTTGTAGAGTAGCAGAGAACAAACTTTTACAAATACAAAATGAGCATGAAAAAGAAAAAGACTTAATAAAAAATGATTTTGAGCTGAGAATAAGACAAATAATTGCACAGAAAGATGATGAATTACAAAATGCAAAACATCAGGTGAAACTTTTTGTTTTAATTTTTTGACAACAGAAAATAAAGAATCAACCAATTTTATTTTTTACACTTTTTATATCTAATGACCAAAATTTTTTTAGCTATTTACATATTGGTTGTTTTAAAGCTGAAGTGTCTTTAAAAAGTAAATGCCCTAATGTTTTAGGACTAACATATAAACAATTATTTAATATCAAACAAAACTTCAACAGCTTATACGACAAGCATTATTTTTATTTTTGGAACTCTATTTTTGTTTGTTTCAAAAATCACTGTTTTTGGGCATTTTATTTTTGAACAACCCACTATTAATTTTTTCACGGTACTTTTTAGTCACAGTTTTAGAAGTATACAAGATATGTAACAAATGAAGATTATAAATATATTGATTACATAAAATAATAAAGAGATATAATGCGCATGAATATATGAACAGGTGTTAAAATATACAATACATGAGTATATTAATAGGTAGGTAAAGTAAAGAAGTTATATATATATATATATATATATATATATATATATATATATATATATATCTGTTTAATTATAGGTTAGTTGTGTAGAAGAAGAAATGAGAGATTTACTGTTGGAAAGTGTTAACCAAAAAAAGTCGTTCGAAAACAGAATTAAAAAACTTTCTAACGCATTTACAGAAGTACAAAATGGTTTAATTTAAATATTCTACTATTTATTTTACTTCATTCTTAAAAACTAAAATTAGAAAAAGTAAATATTTATTTGTACAAATGTTATAAATAAGACATGTAAGTAAAATAATTTATTTATGAAGTTGCATAAATCTATATGAAATACTATAAAAAAAAGGTTTTAAACGTTCCTTATTTCTAGATTTTTATATAATGTATGTAAATATAAGAAATCGAAATGTAAGTCTGTGAATTTGGTAATATTGGGTTTAATTATTAGTATAGAAAAACATAAGTGCGATTTTCTTGATACGTATCTTACTATTGCTGTTTTCATTTCCCAATATAGATTTGTATGTTTTATTATTATTTTGCTACCCCATAAGGGGTCGTCCATAAAGTACGTACGCTTTTTTTTTCGCTTATTTTATTCGCTATATTTTTTTTAATTTAGTGTCACCATACTTTTAAAATTGACCTACTTATCTCAGAAACGCCATTTGCAGACCACCTCTTCCTCTCCGAGCGTACGTACTTTATGTATGATCCCTTGTAAGTGGGTTAAACAAACAGACTAGTCCTAATAATTAGAGTAATAGACAAAAAGTTTTTTATTTAGCCTTTATTGGAAGGTAGGGAGTCGGTAGAGCTTCAATCTATTTAGCCTTTATTGGAAGGTAGGGAGTCGGTAGAGCTTCAATCTATTTTAATAAAACCAAACAAAAAAAATTTTTAAAAACTTCACAATCCCTAGGTTTACCACACCCAGAGACGGATCCAGCATTTTTTGGTGTTTGAGCTAACTTCCAGAAATGAAACAAGCTCCGAACTAGGGCTGTGGAGTTGGAGTTGCGGAGTTGCAACATTTTTGTCGGAGTCGCTAAACAAAATTGCGACTCAGACTCCAATAGTAAAACTTCTCGGTATTGCACGTGCATGTACTAAAAATTCAATTAAACTTATGTTCATACTAAACCTCAAAGAACGTTTAATAAATTTGTGCAGGAGTCGTTACTCTTTTTTTACGACTCCACAACTTTGCTCCAAACATATATTTGTTGATACTTATGTCCATTAAGGATGTTTTGCGAAAACAAAATGCGATGATCGGAGTCTGAGAACAAAAAAGGCTCAAAATTTTGGTCAAAAACGTAAAAGCAACAAGTTAATAAAATATTTTATGTACTTTTCTTTTACAAATTTGAATTTATCGATAAATTTTATATTTCATACAATGGTCTCTTAGCGTTTAAAAATTATAACTTTATAAAGTTGTGGCCTCCTTCAATTCGATTTTCAAACTTTATATCTCAAACATCGAAAAATACTGGATCAGCCCCTGGCATCCTTGGTTTTTAGTAGAGGTGTACCGGATATTTCTGCCGGATATGTCGGATATTAAACTTTTCTAAAGTTCTATAAATGTTTATGAAGAAAAAACAAGTCTTGCCAGTCTACAATAAATAGTATTCAAGATCTTACTTTAAAAAATCAAGGGAAAAACTGTATGACATGGGATATGTGCTGACGAAGTATAGAAAATAGTAATTAAAAAAAATAAAAGTTTGGCTGTAAAAACGATTTTTTCTTATACATTAATAACGCATAAACATGTGTTATACCAGTTTTTATTGATTTTATTTTTTTAAATCTTGAACACTATTTAATATAGAATGACAAGGCTTGTTTTTTCTTCATAAACACTTATAGAACTTTAGAAAAGTTCAATATCCGGCAAAAATATCCGGTACGCCTCTAGTTTCTAGGCTGAGATTGGCGTAACTAATTTAATATCTTAAAAGATAATTTATTGTCTTTATTTAAAATATTATCGATATTTTACATTATTCATGTCAAACCCTTTTTATTCAGAGGTTTTAATATAATTTTTATAAATTAAATTCCTGCAAGTATAAATAATAAAAATAAAATAATTGCAATTAAAAAAAAGCTATTTTTATTGCTTTCTATTAAATTTAGTTGTTGTTTATTATATCTTAGACTCCACCTTTTATGAAGTATAGTTTTATGAAGATAATTGGTGTTTATTAACTACTCTGCTGTTGAACTTTTCTATTAGCCAAATTTATTTGACGCGGTCCGCCCACTTATGTTTACAATGTAGGGGAAAAAATAAAAATGTTAGCGTCTCAGTTTGATAAAGTATCAACAAGTGTTCTACATTTTAATTTTATCTCAAATACTATCATTTACCAAGATCAGAAACATTTAAAAAAAAAACCTATATGAAGTTGTTTAAAACAAATTTATAAAAAGAGAGATAAAATACAAACAATTTACCAGACATTATTCCAGTTTAACAATAAGAAAAAAGATTTGAAAAAAAACTGACTACCCAAAGTAAAACTTAAATCAATCTTAAAAACAAAGAGACACTGAAACAAAAATACAATTCAACAAAAAGAAAATTATAGTTATTAAAATTATTAAAAGTAACTTCACAAGTTCAAAAATAAAAGTTTTAAAATGTTAAAAATGTTTTTATCTTGAAAAGATTACAATGGGAGCAAATTTTTTTGTTTTTATAAACTTTATTAATGGTTTAACATAATAATGCCAAATTTTACTTTTAACAAGTTTTAGTTTGGTAAAACATGATTTCAAAATAGTTTTAATCTTTTGTTGTCTTACAACCATATATAGAGTTTACTGTTTCTTCAACAATTACTAATAAGGTATTATTTTGTTTAATTTTAAAATGTTTGATGTATTGGTCTTTAGCATGTATGATTAAAAAACGTAAAGTTTTGCATGTGTATACTCAGTCTGTAGCTGGCATTGAACATAACATTGAGGAAAATTTTATACTAGTTGTTCATGGCTTAAAACAATCAACACAAATTTGAGTTTTCTAGTCTAACAAACTTCTTGATGGACCTAATTTATCAGGGCTACAACCATATTTATTGTTGATTAGACTAATAGATTATAGGCATTTTTCAACTTTTGCTTTAAAAAGAAGTTTTCAAATAATTTACTGAAGTTTTCAATTAATTTTGTGTTTTGTTTTGTATGAGTGATATATTTAACGAACTTGAACAAGAAGATAGTTCTTTACTTAAAAAGAAAAATGATTATACCACAAGGGCCGGACAAACTTTTAAACCAATTCCGACCTGTTATGTAAAGCCCATACAACTAAATTGCTATCTTGTAAAAAATTTATATATATACTTTTTATTCTGTATAGATGATAGTTGATGATTTAGCGTATTTTTTTAATACGTTCTGCATGATTTACTGCGTAGATTTGATCATTTCATGAATACTGTTGTACACGTGAAAGCTAGTGTTTTTGATTGGTCTGAGTCTGCTCTGGGTGTTTCAAATAAAATTCTGAAACAAGCAAAGACTTAATTACAATCAGAAATTTCGATAAAAACTGGTATAAAATGGGACTATCCCAATACAACTAGAAAAGGGGGAACAACAACAACAGGCAATATAGCAAGAGAACTATTGAACAAGAAATGTAACAAGGGTCTGAGTATAATATCATCGCAGCATAAACTAATCGCTCATTCATAGGAGCTTATATTAAATAATGAGGAAAATGGTTTGGGAAATCTTGGGTTTAAAGCAATAACAAAATTTTAAGATCCATACGTACTCGACTATCAAGAAAAAATCCCCAAATTGTCAATTTAACCATTATTATACCATTAATCGTATGTGGATATCATCTGATACGATTATTTGTGATGAAAGATAAAAGGTAAAGCCATTCTGCAAATTTTGTAACAAAAGAGGGCATTCTGATGTCAGAAACAAAATGTCTCTAATAACATTTTATCTAAAGATGACACATATTTTGAAATGTTAACATATGAATAAATCACGCATTTTAGTTATTTAACAACATTTTTTTTTTTTTTTTTTTATTGATATTCTTATGTTATTTTTGTATTACAAAATATACATACATATTTGTATATTAATCTTTATGTAATTTTGTTATACCTAGTAAAAAATTTTGTTATACCTAGTAAAAAAGGTTTTATGACATTTTATATATTTTGTTCTTTCAATCTATGACTTAAATATCCTACAGCCATTTTTTATTTTAATTATTCCAATATTAAAACATAAAACCCTTTCTAAAATATTCTTAATCTAAAATATTCTCAATCATTCCCGTAGCATTTTCCATTCAAGAGATATTACCAAATGTCCGTAAAAACAGCTGTTTGGCCCACTGTGCATCGATACTGTAAAATTCATTGAATCCTATATAAGGTTGCGTTAAAGTAACAAGCATATCTTAATAATTTTTCATTTTTAACCTTTAGTTCTTATACAAATATGAATCAGTATTAAATTATCTTTCCAACGAAAATATGAAAAGTATATAAAAGAAAAAAAAAAATCTGACCGAAAAAATTATTACCCCTTTTTAAATAGGCCTAAAAGTACACCTTCAAGTGCTCCAATTGATGGGGCTTTTTTTGGTAAAGTGTTTTATATTTATGTTTACTTGTGCAAAGTTTAAGCTTTATAGTATTTTATTTGGGGTAAATTTTTTAGTTAATACAGCGGACTGGGACATTTATCCGTATTGGGACGTTCATCCAAATAGTTTAGAAATTTGTCTTGTTTTTTGTTTTTGCAGATGTTTTAGACCAATATGATTTGTTCTCTAAATACTATAAAAATATCTAACAGCACTGCAGCTTGACTTCAAAACAAACCATTCGTAACCACTTGACGCACTTTTTTTCCAGTTCTACTTTGTCGGCCAGATATGACTCAACATTTTGTTTTATGTGTAGGATACACAAGACCTGATTCGATTCTGAAAAGGCAAATTTTATCGCTGACACCATAGCCTTTTCCTGATCAGTTCCAATAATAAAATTTTTAGTTTTGCATGACACTTTATGACAATTTATTCCGTAAATGTGTAAGAAAATAGGCGTATGTACCATCAAATGTATCACCATGCAGAAACAATGGCCCAATTAATCGGATTTAATTAAAGATCTTTGCTGACTATAACCTGCATCTTAAAT